CCCGTTGTCCTTGCACGCGCGCGAGGAAACAGATAGCAATTCCCACAATACACGATCACATGACCATGGGGAAATTTATCTCCTAAATTTTCAACTCCTCAGAATATTTGGATTGGTACTTAAAACATTTCTTTTTTGAGATGGGAACTGATAATTTATCATCCCAAGCAATGTAAAGAAACAATTTATATTGACAACCCTGTACATGAGTTCGTTTTCAAGTGAACATCCATAAGAGATACTTACTGTTAGCAGGTCACTTTGGCAACTCTGTTTCTAATTCTGTTGTTTAGACCAGGGATCCCCAACCTTTTCGACGCCGCGGCCCGGTTCCGACATCAGCTGGGCGCCGCGGCCCGGTACCGGCGTCAACTGGGCGCCGCCATCTTTTTATGACGAAAAGGCGCTTCCGGTGAGCTTTCTACCCGGAAAAGCTCACCAGAAGCGCTTTTTTACCAAAAAAAAGATGGCGGCGCCCAGCAACCAGCGGCCCGGTAAGGGTTGTTCCGCGGCCCGGTACCGGTCCGCGGACCGGCGGTTGGGGACCCCTGGTTTAGACTACATTGAGATTATTTTGTTGTTCTTGTGGGTTTTTTTTGTTTTGTTTTTTTGCTGTAACAATCCTGCCTCAGGCCCTTCTGCTTAATTTCAAAAGGGATTTCTAAACTGAATTTTGAAGTTCAACTGCTTATCTTACAGAATCAAAAAGTTAATCTCTCACTTCTCCAACATTCTGACTTATATGATACACATCTGCAAATCACATGGGAAATGGGAGGGGGGAAATGGCCAAATATTTCATTAGCAGCCTCTGGAAATTTCACCTGTCAGTGATCTTCCCTGACATTAACAGCCTGGGGTTTCTTAAAATACCCACACTCTGCTAAGGTGATATTTGAAGGCTGGTGGCATATTTGAAAAAAGGCAAATTGCACATAGTCTATCTTGTAAACACTTTGCTCTAAAATGGATGTATCTCTCTCTCTCAAAAATCGCTTAGTTGGCTAAGGCCAAAAAACCTGTTTTATTTATGTAGGTAAATATAATTTTTGGGTGTGTGTGTGTATACATTGTTGATGGCAGATGCCTATCACCACAGTCAGAAGCTGACCAAACCCAAACTGTGCTTGTCCATGTGATGTGAAAAGATGTTTGTGATGTTTCTCCTCTCTAAAAAGGCATTTCAGATGAGCCAATTTAGTCTAATGCTTAAGGCCTAGGCTAGAAAGCAGAAGATTGAGAAATCAAGCCCTGACCTAGTTGTGGAAACCAGCTGGGTGATTTTGGGCTTTGACTCTCTCTCTCAGCCCAACCCATTTCACAGGGTTGTTGTTGTTGTGGGGAAAATAGAAAGAAGGTGTGTTGAATATGTTCACCGCCCTTGGGCTGTTGGTGAAAATGATAATAAATAAAATAAAATCTCCTAGCCAGTCACTGGGCGAGGCGAATCTCCCGGCACTTCCATAGCTCTAATACAATGGAAGAAAGCAACCACGCCTAATAGCCCCCCCCCCCAATCATTCATACGCTGTCAGAAACAGAGCCAAAAAAAAAAAGCCCGCCCTCCCATTAGCTGATTTCTGACCAGTTGATTTCGGCATCCAAAACTAAGCGCCACTGAAAATAGGATGCCTGCTAAGTACAGCTTCCCAGGACGCGGCTGCAATGAATTTCATACTTCGACGGTCAGTCACCTACTTCCTAGGAAGCAGACGGGGGACGACGAAACCCATCCCGCCGTCCCAGACGCAGCAGGAACCAACCACACTTGCGCATCCAACCAAACTAACAAGCGCCGCGCAAAGCCCGACACTCACCAAAACACCAACCCCGCCACTCACCGGAAGAGACTGTTTCCAGGAGAACTGGATCATAACCTGGAAACACTCAGTCAGCCTCACCAAGGCTCTTTCCGGTTGAGGAGGGAGGGGGGGAGAGAGAGAGAGAGAGAGAGAGAGATAGCGAGAGAGCGCATGCGTGGGATTTCCTGGGCGAAGTACCTCTTACCGAGGATTGTAGTCTCTAGATTTAAATTTTAAAACTATAATTCCGATTCCCGATGTCAACGCTTAGACGCCGTGGCTAGGAGAGGGAGAATAAGAGCAGAGAAACCTCTTATTGAAACTTCTTGAAATCAAACTTCTTGCTGGAGTGGCGAAAGTTTAACAACAACAACAACAAGACTGTTGAGCTATCAACCAGCCCCAAAGGCTGTGAATCTCACTAAATAACAACAACAACAATAATAATAACAATAATAATAATAACAATAACAATAGGAAAGAGGAACCACTCCCACCAGTTCGACTGAAAAGCTAGTTGCTAATTGTGCCCTTTTGTCGAAGTATTAATTGAAAGAGACGTGTAAGAATTAGTGCCTGTATTCACACAGCACAATGTGAACTGCAAACCGATTAATCACATTTTCTCCTAAGGTGTTGATTTTTTATAGTTCAGTGTGTGACATGCAGTTACAGTTTATAATATATTGTTTTAACACTGATATATAAGATAATTGAGAGATTAGCTTTGGGGTCTTGTTGACCTGTACAACTATCAGAAAGTCGTTTTCAATGCTTGGTCTTGATGGATTCGCTGAAAGAATTTAATGGTTTAGCTTGAAGGATTTTAATATACTGTATAATCATGCAGTACATCTCTGTATGTATGCACAAAGAAATTTTGGTGTTCATTTTTCAAAACTAGAAATCTATGAAGGAGGAATACTTACTTTTACTGCTACAATTACTACAAGTAGTCCTTGAATTATGACCACAATTGAGCCCAAAATTTCCATTGCTAAGCAAGACAGTTCAGCAAATTTTGTTCCATTTTATGATTTCTCTTGCCATAGTTGTTAAGTGAATCACTGCAGTTGTAAAGTTAGTAACATGGCTGTTAAGTGAATCTGGCTTCCTCAAAGACACTGCAACCATCATAAATATGAAACAGTTGCCAAGCATCCAAATGTTGATCTTGTTCAAGCTGAGGAAGTTTCTTGGATGAGAAGCGAAACATCTTCAAAGAAAAACCAGAAAGTCCAGTTGTCTCTTGAAAAAAGGCAACTGTCCTTTGGGACAACCATGACCTGGATGACTGATAATCTCCATAGACCGTATGGTAATCCGAATTAGTCAGACTCCATCTCAAATATTATCTCCAGTCCCAGATAATACAACTTAATAAGGTTTTAGAAAAACTGGAACTGAATCCTATGAAAAGCAATTGAATGAGTTTGGTATGTTTATATTTAATAAAAAATGACAGATGGGAGCATCCGTAGCAAGGTAGGTTAATAGGCCAGGACTTTGATTGCATGCTCATGCTCACATTCTTGACTTTTTTGATTCCTTATAGATATTCCTACAGAGCGAAAATATGACACCACTCTTCAAATATCAGAAAGAATGTCCCATAAGAACTCGTTCTTTCTTGCATGCAACAGGATAATGAAGGTAAGTGCAGAAACGTAGATTCTAACTGAATGTAAGAGTAAACTTTGTAATAGGAAGAGTAGTGTGAGTGCAACGAAGTAGAGGGCTTGCAATCATCTCAAGGAAGTTTTAATATAGATACTTGCACTGGGCAGGAGTTTGGAGTCAGTGGCCTAAATGCCCCTTCCAACTTGTGAAAAATTGGGGATAGTTTACATGTTGTTTAACAACTTGATTGCTTAGCAACTGTTTCAAGATATCACAAAAATCTCCAGAGCTACTTAAAATCTGGTTTTGGAGTTCCAACAGGGGAACACACACAAACACACAAGCACACACTCACAGTTACATTTGCATTTTCGATGCTTGATAACTGACTCACATTTATGACTATTTTGCAGCATCCCAGGGTCCTATGACCACAATTTTTGGTGTTTTTTGCCAGTTTTTTGCAAAAAAAGAAAAACCACACCCATTAAAAAAATCAGGTTTGCTTAACATCTGTGGCATTCACTTAACAACTGCTGCAAAAAAGATTGTAAATTCAGGCATAGTCACATGGTGACCTGCTTAACACATGGTGATCTGACTTAATTCCAGATTCAATTGGGTTTGTAAGTTGAGGACTATCTATATATTGATTGGATTCTACTGAATTCATTTGGCAAAACCATGATAACTTTTTCTTTTCTTCTTAATGTTTTTTTTTTGAATTCTCTAACATTGTTAGTACTAAAACTTTTATGGCCCAAATGAGGTGGTTAGTTTGTAGAACAGTGCTGCACAAGAGCTACTACTTCAAAGAGTTGAGGGAGTAGAGAAAGCTTGCAGAAGATATTTAATCACTGCTGAACAAATAGTCTAGCAATAAAGATAACTGACAAACTTAGCGAATGCAGAAGACTAACACAGATGTTAATTTTCAGAAGCAAAACTAGAATCCCTATAGATACGAACCAGATTAGTGGAAAATTAGTGGAATTTGTTTTCTTCTCCAAAAGCTGGCGTCCTGGCAGTTGTAGTTCCTAGTAAAGGAAGGCTATTCCAAGACCTTGATTGGTTCCATGTCTAAGGTTATCATAACCGTACTGCTAAAGGCACACGCAGTAGTGCTCAACTTACAACCATAATGGAACCTATCCATGGAGCCTGTGATCTATTTGATTTTATGATCTTTTTTTCAGCAATCATTTAAGTAAACATGGCAATTGTAAAGTGAACTAATAGTTCACTCTGAGCACAGTTTTGCTGAAAACTAGAAGTAAGTGCCTTTCAGCAAAACCATTGTAAATTATAGTCACGGGACCCTGGGATGTTGCAAATGGCTATAAATATGGCCCTGTTGCCAAGCACCTGAAGTTTGGTCACGTGACTTCAGGAGGGAGGCCTGACCATTGTACCTTCAAATCCAGGTTATAAATAACCCCAAGGTAGGTCCATTGTAACTTCGAAGAGTCACTAAGTTGTAAGTCAAAGACTACCTGTATATAGGATTTCACTGTACTGTAATCATATGGAGAAGCAGTTAGAATTGTTCAAAGAGTATTAGGAAAAATATATTCTGAATATTAAATATGCTGCTTTTCTTGGTTAAGCACTCAAGGCAGTTTATAGTAAAAGGGAAGCTGAATTAAAAGTTGGTTGGAAACATTAACCTGCAAAAACACCATGTCACAAATTTCCTCTTTCTCTAACTCTTCCAAAATACTTAAACATTTCTGCTCAAATGAGAAGAAAACATAAAAAGAAAAAAACTCCAGATCCTTACTGGAAAAGATTACACTAGAACTTTTGGGTGTGGAAATCCAGCAAGAAACATTGTGATATTAGGGAGTCAGGAGAAGTGGTTATTTAACCACAT